AAGTCGGAGATAAGGTATGGCTATCTTCTACCAACCTCAGGTTGAAACTTCCATCTTGGAAACTCGCTCCGAAACGATACGGACCATTTGTTATCTCCGCAGTATTATCTCCGATCACTTTCACACTCCAATTACCGCTGCAATGGAAGATCCACCCCACATTCCACACTTCTCAGTTATCGTCCTATAGCGAAAATAACGAACATGGCTCGAACTTCTTAGAACCACCACCTGATATTCTAGAAGAAGAAGAAGAAGAAGAAGAATACGAAATCGAAGCCATCCTCGCGCATAAAGGGAATGGAAGAAGACGCCATTATCTAGTATCTTGGAAAGGATATTCTTCCGCCAGTAATGAGTGGATTCCCGAAGAGAACTTGGGAAATGCCATGGAGACCCTCAACGCCTATAAAGCCAGAAACTTGCTTTGAAATCAAAAACTACATTGATGATATACTCCTTACCCAAACTCAAAACCTCCAGCAAGAATGTCTTTCCCAACCTCCTTCACACTCCCCTATGAATCCACTTTCTCGACCACTACGTATGCAAATGATGAAGACCGATATGAAGCCTTTATCTCCCATGCCAAAGACCTTACCCTCATTGAGGCAGCCATGCTCTGCCCCCAACACGCCATCGAACTCAACAGAATCCTCTTTGAAAGAAATGCATATTCCGTTAACCTCCTCGTCAACATTGTCAGAGCCACAGACCTTATCGAAAGACTCACTTGCCTCGTCGAGGACGAATCAGTCTGACATGGCATTATGCACCTTCAAAGGCATATACACAACTTTACTTTGCGTCTTATTCCTGATGAGGTTAGAGATGATATTAGAACCGTCATCCATATTGTCGCAGAACGATCAGCGGGTGTTGCTCATCCGCCTTCTCCATCCCCTGTCAATAGAACTGACAACCTGCCCCCGTCTTACCACGATGCAGTACCTGTACCTCCTCCTCATATTCCTAACGAGCTGTTGGCTGCTGTCAATAGTCTCACGCAAACCATGGAAGCCATGATCGCCACTCTCAATATAGAAAATCAACCCCCTCCCGTAGAACGACAAATCATGCCACCTGTAGATGCCCCCATCGAAAATACTCCTCTGCCTAATGCCTTCATCGAAACACAACACCATCCAGAAAATCTTTATAAAGCATTCTCTGCTAGTTATGAGGAAATAGAAGCGAACACTAACGAGCAATATCTCTCCTATCATGAAATCAAAGATCTCTCAGCCGTGCTCAAAGCGCTTCACATTCATCCTCCAATGACCATCCCTAAATCATTATCCATGCATACATTCAAAGATGGAATCATTCCCATCGAGACGCTAGGAGCAACTGCTCCTTCTACTCCTGCTGAGCTAATCGCGGAGGCGGAACAACAAGATGTTTCTTATAGGCACCCTGTCGAATTCAAACCACCTGCCACTCTTTGGAAAAGAGCATGTGGACAATCCTATAAAGGAAAGGGAAAGAAACGGGCTACTAGTGTTACGACGGTGGTCGCGTGTGAACTGGGATAATCTAACAGCGACGATCACGACAGTGATACCACGTGCTGAGAGTCCGAGGTCGGCTCCTACAGAAGAGCAGGAGTTGCGTACACTTGCGGAGGCGAGCGATGATAGCGAGTTACAGACAGAAGGGTTCTCAGGTCCTTCCGAAGGTGCGGATCTGATGTCAATCAGGTAGCTTTAGAAAGACAAAGGTTTCGAGGTAAAACCCAGTAGGATTAAAGTAAGGAACATCTACTTTAATCGTCGACCTTATATAAGGCTACTCTATCGTATCTAAGCTCAGCTTGAAGCTGGGTTCTAATCTGCTTATCTATTGAGTCAGAGATACCATGCATGAGGCAGGCTTCTATCAGTACATGAGGCAACATGAGGCTTGCCTTCTATCTTTGATAACATAAATAGGTCTTCTAGACCTATGTTGTCATATGTTTGTCATAGCGGTCCAGACCGCTTATCTAAGCCGGCATCTTCCGGGCTTCTCTTCTATCTGTCGTTTTGTCATCAAGGCCTAAAGGCCCAGTTATCGTGTCGTTGCCGTGCGAGGTGGCAGAGGGCTGGTCGAGTAGCTGGGGGCTCTCGTAGTGACTGTAACAACTAGCGCGGATGAAGCACTGAGCCCACGACCTGGTCTGTCCCCACTACGTTCTACTTCATCCAACCCAGATGAAAATTGTTATGCACTCAAATAGATCTGTTATGCGGAGCCCTAAGAGGGGCATCGTCCGCTAACATTCGTGACGTAACCGGAAGGGTCCGGTGTAGCGACTGAGACTGGCGACAACGAGTCGGCAGATATCAGAGACGTGCGTGTCACGTGACTTCTTCTAAGACGGATGTCTTCAAAGTCACTGACGTTCTCAAAGTAAGGACAGTCTTGTCCGAACGATGAGTAGTCGATCGAGGTAGACTTAGGCGCGATGAGCACCTAAGAAAAGATACTAGAGACTGAAGCTGAGGGGGCTTCAGAGGGAAGTATGTTCGAGGGAAGATTGAGTAGATTCAAGTTAGGGAATCTAGTACAGGGTGACTGACTACTTATACTAAGTGGAAAGGGTTAAGGGCAAGGCTACCGTACTGTAGGTAAGGGCAAAGGGGAAACGGAAAGGGTATAGGTACGCTGGTAGCAGAGCCTGATTAGTGATGTGAGGTCGAATGTGGAACGAGCCAACGGTAAATGATACAATGCGCAGCACGCATGAGTCAGAGGAAAGATAAGACAAGATAAGGAAAGCCACATTGATGGCACGAGTCAGAACGAGTCATAGCCTGAAGGCACGTGCGCACGTTGGTGCGAGAGGAGGGGGATGAGGGACGGGAACGGTCCCGAGGATCTGGTCAACGGATAGTCGGTAGAGAAGTATGAGCCGGAGGCATACGAGGGCGAGGACGAAGGGGAAAAATGATAGGGGGGCCATGTAGCCGATGTTACTTGTAACAAAAATCGAGTTTGCTGATACTGCAAAACTCTCGGGCACCGTCAAATACATTGCCCAGATTACTACTGCAGAGTATGCAGAGAGTTAAGTCCTGGACATCTTTCATTCTACTGTCCTAGGTATACAGGCAGCGCGCCTACTACCTTAACCTGGAAAGATGAAGGATTTTATACCACACTAGCCCTCTGGGAGAATACCAGAGACGAGCGATACATCGCACAGTGTCAGGAGGAAGAGGCTCTCTATCTTGCTGAACAGTTGAAGGGAGGTTCTGACAACTTGGACTATTCTGATGACCCCATTTATTATGCTAACTTAGATGATTAAAGTCGGTGACTTTATGCCTAGTAGGGGGGTAATGTTACAATAACACTTTTCTCCTGCTTCGTTGTTCTCTTTGTTCAATAACATGCCTTCCATCTATGATCACTTACCTTTCTTGGATCATGTACTTATATCTCACGACTACCTTGGTCTGTGCGCGCATATTGACTTATTTAAGCACGTGTATTAGCTTTGTAGAACTTCACTTGAATCTTACTAGGTTTTACCAGAACTTCCTTTGCTTAAGACCTCCAATCTTAAGTTGTCTGAACTAGCATTCTTAGTTGAAGCACTCCTTCGACTAAGTCTTATAGAACCCCTTCTTTTCTGAAGGACTCTATGAATCTCAACAGTCGAAAGACTCTGTCAAGTCTCTGTTGTTAGAACTATCCTAGTTTGTAACAACTACAGGTATAGTATGTACAGAGATATGGTGGTTAAGTGAAAAATGGAACAGATTGAAAAGAGTGTGTTGATATACAGCTTGACTCTGAATCAAAATCTGCTGGCACCACCCGGAATACCACACCACAAGCGGATGTGAGTGTAGGGCAAATTGACAACCAGTGACCGTATATGTATGTACATAGATCCTATAACTTTTTCGGGAATTCATATATTACATGAATTTGTCACTATATATGTTTTAAAAGCATACGAGTGATGCCTGGTGGAACAGAAAGTCAAATAGCCAAAATAATAAACAAAATAAAGAGAAAAAGCGGTTTCGAACTCTCGGACGCCACCACATACCAATAGTTGCTGAGACCACTTGGCCATCAAAAACAAAAATATAGCTACCTACCACACATCTGGCAACAATTATTTGGGTTTAATGTGAGTTATACGAAGCTAATTGGCCGAAAAGCGGTTGCATGTCTGTCGCAGAACTTCGAGTCTTAAATGCGACTCGTCCTCTACTTTACAGGCCTACATGTGCGCTGGTTTAACCTGCTACAGTCACGCAGCCACATGTATTCTTGTTTGTCGGGTAACACTTGACTTCATGTCTTTCTCTTGGGTCTTTTCTTGTCATTATATATTACTAGTTTTTTGCCAGTGTCGGAGGGATATGTTTGCTCGCAGGTTTTGGATAGGCTCACTGTTCATGTATTACTAGTGCAAATCTCCATAGGACTCCCTCTCATCTGCAGGGAGTCGCATTTGCACCAGTTATCTCCGTGCTTCTTCTGCCTTCCGCACAGGCCAATTAGTATACAATATGATATTATTGTCGAAGAGCAGACAGAGGGCATGTCCTTGTCCATACTATACTACTCCATACTGCTTTATGTGTATAGCAGAGTGGTAATGACAGTTCATTCATTGAAGGGAGAATTTCCTAGTAGAGTTTGGCTCAATGTTTTAATAAGTATGCAGTTGTGGTGCTATCTTCATCTGAGCTCAAGCATCCCAACCATAGTGCTCTTGACAACCTCAGGCTGGATTAATAGCCACCGGCTGCCATCAACCCTACCGGGCAGTCAATGAGAACTTAAGTATCATAGATTATATTTATCTTGACGTCCTTGGTAATGATCATTGTACCGGTAGTTCAAAAGAAACATGATTAAAATACAAAGTCCAGTACTCCATAGATGGATCTCGAAAGACTGTTGATCACTATGCCATAGTCAATGTACAGATGTGTGTAAGTATTCAACTAGATCTAGCTTTATCCTAAATAATGAGGTTGACAAATATGAAGAGTCTATGGCACCATGAAACATTCCACGAGACATATCTGGTCAAAACGCAAGCTAATACTAGGAGCATCCGAACCCTCAATCACAAGCTCAGCAGTACTGAGCTTAACATTACACTTTGAGACAGTTCGTATCTGACCCCGAAAATCCCCGTCCAGAATAAGGCACAGTTGATTCTTTCTGCGTGGAGGTGCTGGACACAGATCACTGGTGGGGATATGATAGTGTTGAAGCATAGCGCCCTTATTGCTTGATGCGCAAAACACTGCGACAAAACCCTCGGGTGCGGGTCCGTTTGCACCGCAGAACGGGTCAGGACAGGCCGTTGATACAAATCGTCTGTGAAGCTTGCCTCCACCTCCATTGAACTTCAATGAGACTTTCAACAGTGCATGATATGTCAGGAACTGCAAAGCAAATTCCCTAGACATCAACCAAGGTAAAGGGCCTATAATCAAATTAGCAACATATTATGATACCTTCATCGAGGACCTACCATTGTCTTGAACTTTTTCAGCTCTGGTATTGATACTGTCCTGGATGTCTTGTGCATCCACAGTCCAGGGGTCGAGTGTCGACGAACTGGGGTCGACACTTAACAAAGGACCCTCCGCAGTATTGGTATCAGTAGTATTGATATCCTGAGAGTTGACATCCCAGGATGTCTACAGGCTGTTTGAATCTGTGCAGATAGAAGTAGACGAAGTGGAGGGAACTCAGTCTGGAGGAGGGGTGGTACATCTTCGTGGCGGCGACATCAAGTACGACCGTTTTCGCAAATCACATAGTGATATCAAGTCTGATGTTGCTAGCATCACACCGTTTAGCCTCATTCCATAGCGACACTAACAACATCTCCAGGCCTGATGTCATAGCCCCTTTCTTTTGTATAGGTGATTGTTTGGGAAAGGTGTGTCCGTCGAACAAATGTGGTGGCAACTTGAATAATTGGAGGTCCCAAGTACTCAGTTTCGTCCTCAATGAAGACTGGGTTCGCATCTCGGAACCACAGCTGCACCACTCCCACAGGAAACCATGACACGATCCTGCATTTTCCTATGTGCTCCCCCATGAGAACTTCTATAGGGTCTCTGACTTGGATGGATTCGTCAGGGGGAGGCTCATAATGTTGCTGCATTGTTGGGAGTCGTGGTTGAAATGTATGATTTATGGGATGACGATCCAAGTAGTACTTTGATACTTGGACCTATAGAATATCAAGGGTTAGCAGACAGTGATGCGTGCATACTAGATACCCACCTCTTCCTTGGAGATATCTTGACAAATGTGAAATATATCACCTGATATTTGAATGGCGTGCCCTTCCAAGCCCAAGTACGCACCCACTACAACCCATACTGTGTCCCCAATACAGAAGACCCGCTCCAGATCCTGCAGTTGAACTTCCATTTCGACTTGATCTCCATCAAAGGTGAGCTCTACGCATGCGGAACCAAGTACATGGTCTATTGACAAGACCGTGCTGGTTTCTGAATGAACTTCTCCTTTGACAATCCTGACTGCATCTCCTGCGTGCAGGAACTGCATCAAAAACGCCATAATTGTTCTCTTCATGAATGATGTGTCCCACCCGGACTGCAGATGCAGTTGAATATCATTGACGTGGGGGGAGGCCACACATTCTAAGTGATAACAGTGACAGTCCTTCAGTAGAAGTCCCTTGTAATACTTTGCTCCTTTGTACGAGCATCCTACAACTTCCTCATCGTGAGTGATGTCGGTCACTGTGTTGTTCTTCGGAAGGCGAGAAGAGTCCAGTAGTGTGACAGATCCCTTAGCCATGGGATAAGGAAAATCTCGTGGAGGGACCAGGACCTTGACAAAGGAATTGGATTCCTCGGAATCAAACACGTACGCTATGGTGTCCTTATACTTGCCATGCTTGATCCTGACCCACAACGGGTTAGGAAGTTTGACATTCGAACATTCCACCGCTTCGCGTTCCTCCTCTGAGATGCGGAGATATTCTCTCACCAAGAGATTATGCGAGGGCGGAAGATGGGCTGAAATCGTTTTGGGGCTCTCTGAGACTACATAGAGTTGGCCTGGCACCCAAGTCGACACAGTAACAGAAAATCCTTTGCTTTGAAGGTGTTCAGCGATATATTGGGTAGCAGTTTTTGTAACGCGATGAGTGACATAATACAGGATTAGAAATAGATGTACTGTGAACTTGAAGGAGATACATCCTTTTTCAACTGTGCTGGGAGACCAGGCAGCTTTGTAAGGAAGGTGTCCCCTTGAAGAATACCTTGGTTTCTCTTGATACTTCCCTACGATATCATCGATCGCAGCGGCCAACCTATTCTTGGCAGATGAACCTGGCATAGACATAATGTTAGACACTTGCACAGAGGAGCCATTTATATCCTCCTCAGCATCATCCTCGTCGGAATTCCTTGCTTGGTCATCAATGAAGCGCTACGATTGTTAAGTAGAGTCTCATCAATAATAAATATTTCACATACGTTGAATAGTCTATGCTCCTCCTCCTCCTCCTCCTCCTTATCATCATCGTCATCATCATCATCATCTACTTCTGCTCTATCGTTGATGTAGGGCTATATGTGTTGCTTAGTATAAGTATCATAAGTCAGAAATGCACCTACATTGAATGGCCTATGCGATCAACGATTCCTCTTCTGTGTAGATGTAGCCAGGGGTGAGGTTTTAGCTGCCTTTGTTATATTCGATGACATTGTAGAGGCCTGGCATATGTAAACAGCCTTAAGGGCGCAAAGATTTGCTAACACAATCATATCATCGCCGTCACCAGAGAATAACGCGGCTAGCGCATCCTTCCAGTCCTCCGCTGAGTACCGATCACCCAGATATGATACAAATGCCTCTTCTGTCTGAGGGTATGTGGTGTCAGTCATAAGGAATGTTTCCAGAATGCGCCAGGCACCTTCATCTGCCTTGGGTGACGACGCTGCCAGACAAGTCCCTGTATTGTAGGGACAAGCTCATGAGTAATATCGTTAATATTGTCAAGGTATTGAGACTCACCTTCATTAATTCTGACGCGCTTCGGGGCACATTGATTATCGGTGGATGCAGCATGCTTCGCCATACTATGTCTATCTGTATTGTACACGATCAATATCATTTCGGTAGTCAAGCTTTCAAGCCCAAACTGTACATACTTGAATACTAGTTTTGTGTTTCCTATCCTAACTATCACTAAGTGTATCGTATCGAGGTGGTGATAGCGGAAAGACGAGCTGGCAAGATACATGATCAGAATTTATACGGTTCTGCAATAATGTGGTGCTTACTCATGATCACGGTGGAATTGTGGACATTGGATTAATGGAGATCCACTACTACCAGCCTGGCCCGACAGCATTCTCACTATTGAACTTTGTCATACATATTAAGTGGGGTAACTATTATTATTGCACCTCCCGCCCATCCGCCACAGAACGATGTGTTGCAAAAGACTCAAGGTACTAATACACTGAAACTAGCCTCACACTAGATTTATATACTAAACATACGAAACAGTCAGGAAAGGAGCTTCATTTCGTGAAGACAGACAGTTGATATATGGTCTTACATTTTCAAACTCAGCTGGAGTTCAGCGTGTGGCACACTGAACTCCAGCTGAGTTTGAAAATGTAAGACCATATATCAACTGTCTGTCTTCACGAAATGGTTCTTCTTTTCCGACATTATGACTACACTACCTTCCTATCTAGAAGCCTAATTTCACCTGGCCTTATGGACTCGAGCCCACTGAGCACCCACACCGTGAGTGCGATTATTTGCTTACGCTGCTAAGTTCTACCTTTTCTAAGTAACTTAACTTACTTTCATTCATCCAGATGCCCAGCAATATTGCACTGGAATTGACAACTCCTAGTAGTGTGACTCAGTCCGGTCGAGTCTGAAGAAGGTCAACTACCCTCTCAATCCCATCGGTTCATAACTTTGCTCCATCCCACTGCGCAATACTAAATTGAGTTTATCCAGAAAATTTCTTGCCCTGGACTTCAACGGCCAGAGACACTGCCCTAACCTTTGGGCGCAGTGAGATCCTCTTTCACTTGCTTCTTGGCCATATAACAAACAACAATTATACCATTTGGACTGGTGGTGTTGTTAAGTACCATCAGCACACCTAGCGAGATGGATTTCTATCTTCCGGGATATTCGTACGTAGCAAATAGCACTATCCAATTTACCTTCGGTTCACTGATTGAACCATAACAGTGGAATAGTCTATCTGAACGTGATCAAGACAGCTCGATCTATCATATCATCGTGCATCTTGCAGCACCCAGCAGTGCCAGACCTTTCAGCATACTAGGTCAAGCCATTTGAAGGGTATGAATGTCACTTTAGATACAGAACGCAACTAACAGACTTTCTGTCTTTGTAGCCACTTTCATATTGATGGACCAGATTTTTCGTGTTACTGTTTGGGCGGAACACCACTCAGGGTAGCGGAGGATTCGGAAGTTTGCTGCTTCCGACAACCTCCCTCAGCCCATGATTATCGCACATTTTAGCATACATCACATAGTGTCATAGTTATTTATGAACACGTACCAACACAGCATGACGTGTGGACACAATAGTAGCAGAACTACACGTTACAATTAACCTGAATTGATTCATGAATAGCTAGTCCTTTTCGACTCCTTCAGAGGAAATGTCCTCCCTCGCTACCTGTTCTGAGCCTTCATCTGCTTCATCCCACTTTAAAAAATTGAAAGAGGTACTGGGAGAAGGGACACCATCTGCAATCTGAGGAAGGTCAGGCACATAGGTGCCAGGAGGCATATAGCGAACCAGATTCTCGGCGTGGTAGTATTCTTCAAGCCATCTATACCTGTACATTGCCACCCTATCTGAAAGGTACACAGCACTATTTTCGGCATTTCTTAGTTGTTCCTTAACTTGATGCAGCTCAGATTCTAATTTGCTTGTTGATCGTCCATCCTCGACTGAGTGAAGATTTTTTCAGACTTGTCGTACAGTTTCCGGTATATGAATGTTAAATCTCACCAATGGTCTGTGTCCCTTTATGGAGAGATTGAATGTTTTGATGAAATTGCCTGCACGGTAAGTATTGTCTGAGTTGTTCCAGAGTCTAACACACTGCTCACATGCAATCAGTGTCCATCTGTGAACTTTCTACACCAGAGCTCCCCAGCGCACATGCCGAGGAAAGTTGGAAGCTTAAGGTGCAAGTATTATTTATCGACTTGATACTTCATATTGAACAATGCTTACTTTAGTGTGACACTATGGATGCATTGTCGTACACGTTTTCGAGAGGGTGAGTCAGACGTCTGAGGTCCAATCCCTGCCTTGCCATACATGGTGGAATTGATACTTGTTGTTACAGTGCCAGTGACTTATGTACCATCGTACAATGAGACCCATTTGACCGCACTTTCAGCTGTGGTAATAATACTTCATCAAATATTGATGACGCGGCGATGGTGGTTTTTGTTTTTTGCAAACCCGCAGTCCATGTCGTCCTTACGACATCAATCGCGGTTTTTGACACGATATCAGTAGCGGTTTGAGAATGGGACTGGGCATATAAGGCATCTTCTCTGCTGCTTGTATTTTATCTGTCTAATTCCTAATTCCTTTAGCGTAGTATGAGTGACAACAAAAATGATTCGCCTGTTGCTGGTGATCCTTCACGCAAGCGTATGGATTCAGCGCTTCATTTGAGCCCGCGTAAAAAGGCGTAGGTTGTCTTCAACGTCGTGTAACCTCGACTTTCTGACTTGTTGAACAGGACATCATCAAATCCCCTAGTTCTTCATGGTCGACATTTTGGTCGGACAGTCTTCGCATTATGTAACTACCCTGCTCTTCTGACTTCGGGCATACTGCGCCTTGAAGACTTACAAGACACACCCATTGAGGATTATCCTGCAGAGTGAGTGTTGTTGTGACATTGACATTCCTACAACCCTCACCACACTTTTATTGTTAGCGTCTGACGGGAACATAGGGTATTCATGGAACTTGTTGAATCATATCCTGGTCTTCTGGATCATCTAACGAATGGCGATGATGAGGATATCACTCATGTGGGGGAATTGGTAGGTTCCTTATACTGCAATACTATTATAGTCATTGTTCTACCAGATGGGTAAAGGAGCCTCTGGTGCACGAGGCGACGACATGAAGACCCTTAAATCCGCAGTCCTTGAGTGGCTTGTCCTGAGAGGACAGGCAGTCATACTGCCACTCGCCCAAAATATCAAGTCTGACTGTGGATTTAATCATGAGGTCACTGGCGCACTGCTCTGCCCTGCAGGGCTTGATTGGTCGAATGCAGAGTAAGTCTCCCGATCTTTCGATAACCTAATAACCTGACTGTAATAAACATCCAGAACCAAGCAAAGTCTCAAAAGTGGTGAAACCACAGTTCGCAGTGATCAATGGCCGATGTTTTTGTATGCTGGGTATGTCTATGATTCGGAGGATCCGTGGAAGGGTTTACTGAGGAGTGAAATACTGATATTTGTAAGTTCAGTGTCAGTGATAACGGCTTGACTACAATTTTCCTTTGTAGGGCTTCAAACATGTCTTCACATCTCCGAGCTCTGTGGATAAGGAGCCAAAAGCTACGCACTCCAGTAATGCCTATCTCCACAGTATGAAGACGGTGACGAAAGGGTCTCTGGCATATATTGCCATGCAGGTATGGTTGAATTTGATCATGTATTTCTATCACACTGATCTTCTTTCAGGTTCGATTTTCATTAAGCTCATCGTCCGTATTTTCACGTACCGATACAGTCACCGACTCCGAAAACTTCTACCACAGCATCCTTGATCTATTGGAAGATCCTGAGGAAAGTGTCATATCCCATATATTCATGCTTCTCTTCCGGACTTCGGACCCTGAGATCCGGTCCAGTCCGATGCATAGATCCGCTTCTGATCTGATATCCGATAAGCTTCCTATTTCATTTCCTGTTCATTTAATATTAAACACAGCCTATTCGGTATTTCCTCTTCCCGTTGTTTCGGCTATACTTATTACCGGTATTATTACTGATCCGTTAACCTATGCTTCATTTCCGACTAGTGTTTGATAACCTTTGCACATGCTTCGTACATAGCCTTCGGACCTTTGCTTACTTATCGTTGCGTTATCCTCTTAGTATATAAACTTGTGTATATGTCCTGTAGTACCTCAGTTCGAATATCATCTTAGTTTGTCCTCTTTCTGTCCTCCGGACTTGAGTCCTTCTTACTCTTGTCACTCTCTGAGACTTCGGATAGATTCCGATAGTCTATATCCTCAGCTCTACCTTTGGGTAGTCTTTACTCTGTTAGTTTCTAGTTCAGATACGTCCGGATTAGCCTTATACATGTTTCCGATATCCGGAAGACATCCGGATATACTACAAGACCCGTCTGGACCTTCAGATGTGTTACTGTTAACTTTGAAATAAGGGACAGTACTTGGGAAAGGGGCACAGCGTACGAGCTGAGGCCGAAGTCCTTCGGATCCGACCCTATGAGAGTATGACCTTAACAGAAAGCCAGGAAGTAATAGACTTAATGATGTGGTGGACTCGGTTCGTGACGCATCTCACTAACTACCTCGTGCTAATATCTGTCACAGTCGTATTTTTCCTAATTCCTCCTCTTTGCAGCGAGGTGTCAGCAAAAACAGTGCTTTAGCCAAAATTTGGGAGAAACGGGCTGCTCTTTGAGATTGGGTCCCTGCTAGCACTATCTAAATATTTCTAATATTAACATTGTTGTACGAGTCGTAAAGCCTAATCCAATTTATGAATGTCCTATCCATATTTGTAATATGTAAAATGCTCTATGTAAGGCTATGTGTGTTTTGCCAGATGATAGCAATGTGCTTTAGTGTGATGACACCTGGGCTCACTGTCAGTAGTGGTAGATTCTGCGAGTCCATGCAAGAATATGTTAAGTCTTGCAAAATGCCAGCAACTTGATATGACAAGATAACTTATTGTCACTCTGGGACATAGTGTGAATGATTATGAATTCTGCCACCCTAATATGGTCATGTAAGGCTAGGTATCTTTGATAGAGCATCAACAAGAAGTTATTCTAAGACAACTAAGTGACACACTGTTGTTGGTGGTGGATTTCACCACTAGAAGCAGTCCATGTATGAGTATGTAAGTCTGACAACTCATCAGCAACTTGCCACAGCACAATAACCTGTTGTCCCACCTAAGAATTTTGTCGGTAATGGCCCAAACTGCCATATGAACCTGTCCATATAAACCCAGCCAGCATTATGCACCAACTGTCACTCCCAGCCACTTTGCCAGTGGTGGCCCACACTGCCGTTGGAACCTGCCTATATAAACCCAGCCAACAGTATTTGCCAACTGTTACTCCCAGTCACTTTGCCAGTGGTGGCCCACACTGCCATCGGAACCTGCCTATATAAACCCAGCCAACATTATTTGCCCACTGTCGCTCTCAGCTACATTTCCAGTGATGGCCCAAACTGCCATCGGAACCTGCCTATATAAACCCAGCCAACAGTATTTGCCCACTGTCGCTCCCAGCCACATTTCCAGTGATGGCCCAAACTGCCATCGGAACCTGCCTATATAAACCCAGCCAACAGTATTTGCCCACTGTCGCTCCCAGCCACATTTCCAGTGATGGCCCAAACTGCCATCGGAACCTGCCTATATAAACCCAGCCAACAGTATTTGCCCACTGTCGCTCCCAGCCACATTTCCAGTGGTGGCCCACACTGCTGTCAGAACCTGCCTATATAAACCCAGCCAACATTATTTGCCCACTGTCGCTCCCAGCCACATTTCCAGTGATGGCCCAAACTGCCGTCGGAACCTGCCTATATATACCCAGCCACATGTCCAGTGGTGGTCCAAACTGCCATCGGAACCTGCCTATATAAACCCAGCCAATATTATTTGAATATCATCTACTTGCTAGTATATTATAACTTGCTACTATAGGTCTGCCAGTATTCCAGCTTTGGTAGATCCCATCAGCGTAACCTGCTTATCTATTGCTTTATCATATGGTCTACAATTATGATATAAATTTTCATTATTATGCATTAGACAAAGCTAGCTAAATCTTTGTCATACTGCAGTCAAATGCCTGATGAACCATGAACAGACACGACCCAGTGCCATCATAACAGCTGAAGGCTCCGTCAAGTGCTTCATCGAGAAGATCGTTGATGAAAGAAGATGGGGGAAGGGTACCCAGTACCTTGTACAATGGCAGGGAGAAGGACCAGAGGCCGACGAGTGGTTGCCCAGAAGAGAGCTGGAAGTAGGGAATAGCATGGGTATCCTCAACCCATGTGGGTTGTGGGTGTGGGTACCCCTGGGGTATAGGTGGGGGTCTGTACTTTGGGTACCCATACCCCTACCCATACCCTGGTGGTGGGTATGTAAGCAAACATGTCTTATTTCAAAACTCCAAATAAATAAGTATTACACATTGGATATGAACCTTAAACTCTAAACCCAAACACAGTGCTCTTGTAATGATCCCAGCATGCATTTAGTGTCAGAGGCAAAACTACTTTCAGCTGAGTTTTGACCAAGTGCTGGGCCCTGGGACAACTTTGAAACACTTGGAAAAACTCCCAGACATGTTGCATCAATATGACAATCTGTTATAATGATACTATTGAATTATTACAGGGACACTTTTTAGCTGTAGATGGCTCATTCTCTCACATGTCTGTTCTTACTTGAATGTGCAATCAACTTGCAAGCTCTTATGTCTTGGCTATTGGAGCCACTTGAACCTCATCAAGACTAAGCATGTAAGCATGTTTGCTGATCTGGAGGGTGATGGGAAGTAGGAACTGGAGGATGTGTGGGATCAAATTATTATAAAGTAGCTACTACATTTATTCATGTCTCATATTTTCATAATAATTGACAGTAACCCATGGGTATACCCTCAGTAGGTGATACCCTGGGTGGGTTTTCCCTGATATCCACCAAAAAACCCACACCCACAAGGTGGGTGTGGGTATATCATGGGGTATGGGTGGGGGTAGTGCTACTCATACCCCGGAGTTCACCCACACTATTCCCTAGCTGGAAGAGACCGAGGCCCTAGACATCTGGCTTGGAGAACGAGAGGCTACTGCTTGATAGGGTGGAGGAGTGTAAGCTGGATGCTTATGATGCGCGTTGTTTGTGCTTGCTTGCCTTGTTGATTATATTCCTGTTGCGCTGCTGCCTTGTATCTTATCTACTACTACCTGCACCGTCAATCCACGACCTGTCCATGCTTTGTCCGTTCCGTTCTGAGTGTTTCCCTATACATGGGGTTTCCAGAATGTTGAGTCTAGGGTCTTTTCTTTGTGAGAAGGGTGTTCGGACTGTGTTTGCTTCGGATGTCCCGGATATTCCAGGATCGAGATGTCCTCATTTGCTCAGGGTCCGAAAGTTGTTAGATAACAGGGGACCGACCAAGTGCATTCTAAAATTTCAGATTTGAGTCTAGCATTTTTTTGTTTGTAACTCCTTTGGACATGTCCCATAAGCGGCCTACCTGAATTCAAGTTGGAATGACGGTCACTGATGCCGATGGCAGCCTGAGCCTCCCGGTATGGAGCATGCGTCCAGCAATTGCACTATTTGCTTCCTCATTCATTTTCCCTTTCTGCACTCCTCCCTCGGTGCTCTAACAATCTTTCTTTAGACCTGGATTTTGTCGTGTTGTAGTAATTACTCCTGATACTCTGTTAGTCAAGTGTATTAGGATTTTCGAATGCATCAATTTATATTTTACCGTTCCCTATCCCCGCGCTCAGCGTCATATAGAGCGGCTCCACCTGCTCACTTCTGTGGACTCCCGGGCTAACGCTCGGTCCAATTCAACCTACAGTATGTTTTTTTCTTCTCAAAACTCAGCCTGGCTACTGGAACCGGCACTTTCACACCCCAATCATTGATTGTGACATATTCTCTAGCCAGGACCTGCTGCTTGATGAAACCTCAGTCAGTTCATTATGGGGCCATTCACTAGCCAGTAAATGTGCCAAAATATTGTATTCTGGCGGTTTGAACGGCACAGGACAGCTCTTGAAATATCTCAGCTTCCTCAATGCTCGGAGAGGACAGTATACAAAATGTCACATCCCTTGACCTAGTAATTAGGGTGTCAAAACTTTCCCGGTTCCGGTAGCGAGGTTATATTGTAAAACTAGTACTTCGAGACAGATGTACATCGTGTATATTTGTCACGGTGTTCGGTCAAACCCGAGTTCGCCACAATATTAAGTTCGTATTGGAAACCCTAGGTGAGCTATACCAAACAATCCAAAATCCTGAGACTGACATTGATGTATAATATCATAATTTCAGGTGTTCGTGTGCAGAAAGACCAACCTGAAGATACTCCATCCTGCACTCAGTAAGAATGAGTATCATGTGCAAGTAACCAAGACTGTCACAATATAAAAACCATACCTGCCCCCCACGACTTGATCAGTTTCTATCAACATCTTCGTAGCACCTCCAGGTCAAGCACCATGAGTTTATTGAAGATCCCCTTCATCCTAGCTTCGGCCATTGGAACTCATGTATCGTTCACTTCCCCTTCTCTGTCACCGTCATCTAAAGAGAGTGTTGTGCCATCATTGTTTGAATTCATCATTAAATGGTGTATAAAACTTCGCTGGCTGGAGTTAATGAAGGTGGGTCAACCATCTAAATACCTGTCGTTGTTTGTATTAATCTGTGGAAAATATAACAGATCAACATATGGGCAATACCGCTTGTTGAAGTGGCAAACATCTTGGCCACACGTATAGGTCCCTCAGATATTCCAGAAGGCATCAGTGGCACTAGAGCGGTGCAGCTTTTGCATGCCCTACACCCTACACCAATCACCTCCGCTTTCCTTGTCGGCAGTATTGCGATCGCACTTGGTGGCGCATTGAGGTTTTATTGTATGTCAATGTTAGGAAAATTTTGGAGCTTCAATCTCAGCGTCAGAAAAGAGCACAGGCTCATGACAAGTGGGCCGTACTCGGTGATGCGCCACCCAAGCTACGCTGGTCTCCTTCTCCAAAGTGCTGGGACCATTGTCGTGTATGGAAGCCAAGGATCATGGATGAGGCAGTCCAGGATCTTGCAAGTGCCTTTCATCAAAGCATTAACGGGTATCACTTTCGTACTTATCATAATCCACACCTGGATTTCCCTCAGCTGTCCTGCACCAGAGGACCAAATGTTGCAGGGTGCTCTAGGAGAAGAATGGGAGACTTGGGCAAAGAAAGTAAGATACCGGCTTGTTCCTGGAATTTATTGATTACACACATGTGGGTACTAGCTATAGGCGCTGTGCGTTTGTTGGAAATTAATCTGTTTCAACACAGTCCATCATGATATATGGTTTGCTTTTCATTTACACACCTTCACTACCTCGTTTGCTGTTTCTCCCAAGTCTCTTCTATTCAGCTTTTCCTAATGGGCCATTATGCTGTAACATTTGTAACATTACTTAGTTCCTTGCTCACTCTTCATTGCAGTTGAACCTGAGTTGTTATTATGTGACACTGACTGACAAGAGTGAGAATAGCTGGCCGAGGAGTGCATCTGGACGTGAACTCAAAGGTGTTGTGGAATAATGTTTGGTTTCTTCATCAGTGCTGAGTCGAGGTCGAGGCGAAAATGGGGAAAGGCAGGGTAAGAGCATGTGTGGGATCTACCCGTGA